TTAGATTAAATATTTTTTCTAAGGACATTCAGATGTCAGTGTTTCATTTTTGCATTGACAAAAGCATGTTCTGTTTGTTTTTTTTTTTTTTTAATTTTAATTTTTGTTTTTAAAAATTACTTTTTAGTATTTTAAGTTGACAGCATGGTAGTATAGTAGTAGAAGTGCTAATGCAGGCTTTAGTTCTCAGGATGTGCAGGCTGGTGGTACTTAATGTGCCTCTGGCATCCCAAATATTCTGTTCTAGCCCGTGAAGAACTTGTAAGTAATAATACTTCTTAATTTGAAGATAGCAAGCAGTTTTATGAAGACTAAATATCTTATTGATGTAAACACTGACCAGGCAACTAATTTGCTGTGGCTACTACTCATTATATCCAACTCAATCATTTCATTGTTGCGTTGTCCTCCTCCTCATTTGCTTTATCTCCATCTGTTCATTCTTTCATTTACTTGTACTGCACTGTATGAGGTGCCCAAGATTACTGGGGCAAAATTTTGCCTTCTGTGGAAACAGGGTCTAGCTCTACGTGACACTGCAAGGCAAATACAGTATTAATGCTTATGCTACTATTAATTTTACTACTTTTTTTCCCCTCCCTGTGTGATTCAGGAGAAGTATAATTCCTATTTTGGAACTAACTTAGTGATGTGGAGGTGAAAGTTAAGAGTAAAATAGATCACATCTCACTGCAGTCCTTTAAAAGATGGGTGGTAGTCTAAGCTAGTCATCAGAACTTGATTTATTGTTCTAAGTGGTATCATCAGGCATTGGTATTTCTCAGGATGGGATGAATGGCACTTTGAGGGAATGATTCATCCTGCTCTAATGTAGTACAGCTTAGTCACTTGCTGGAGCTGTCTCTCTATGTGAACTCCATGCTAGGACCATATGAAAAACTTACATTAGATGTCTAATTTGTCTGAATCATATTGTGGGTGTTTTGGGAATTAGATTCCACTTCTGATTTTTCACTGTGCTCCACTTGCTAGAAAATTATTTTTCTCTTGCATTATGATGCTCCTATGAACATAATTTTGGTAGTATCACAGAATTATAGAATGGTGATTAGTTGGAAGAGACCTTAAGAGGTAATCTAGTTCCAGCTTCTCTGCTGTGTAGAGGATTGTCAGCCACTAGATCAGGCTGTCTAGGGTGGTATCCAACTTGGCAAATGCCCCAGCCTTTAGGATTTTAATAACCATTGGATGAAGTTTCTGAAAAGCTTTTCATACATTAAAGATACCCTTTGCTTCTTAAGTTAGTTTGTGGATAAGTTTTTATGCAAGTCTCTCTCCATCTATTTGCTGAATTTGCCTTGATAAGCCGGAGGTCTCTAACAATTCAGTTTGTTCTTTCTCTTCACTGCTGTTGTATCATCAAAATAGATGCAATATTCCCCTCTGAAGAGGCTGTTTTAGTGTAATGTGAAGATGTAACAGGGAAACTTCCATGGGGTTGCTAAATGCATCTTTATCATTCTGATAAAGCATGAAAGAAAAAAGTAAAAACAGCTGGATGACTTCATATCAAGTTTTCCCATTAGGAAAGCTTTGTTGCGTTGACTGTGTATTTTTACTGCCTTTTGCCATAGAATTGATTTATAACTAGAAAATTATTTTAAAAAGAAATGATGATATAGAACACATGAAGGATTAATGAATTTGTTTTTGAATTGGAAATATGTCCTAGTTATGGGGTTGTGATTTCAGAGTATTACAGATCACTGGAGCTAAGGTTTCTTTTTGTCTGCATTGCTCTCCATTGTGTCTCTTGAGATGATATTTCACTTAATTTTAAGTAGCAAATGAAAATAACAAGATGGATCTATGACAACTCTGAGGGGAAACCCCTGCTCTAAGATCAGAGGAACTGTTCCCAAGAAAGTTTCAAAACCAGTCTGTCTGTCGTCAAAGGTCAACTGGCAATTTTACCAGTACCCTTCTGAAACTAAAATCATTGGTTCTGGGCTTTTTTCTGCCATTCTGCTGTCACTGCATATCACTGATATAAATCAGCAGGGAATGCTGTAATTGCAGAATATATTTAGCTGCCTGTGTTAGTCACTGAAGGCTAATGTGTTCTTTCACTTCTATTTGTTCCATTTAATACATGCTTACGTATTTAACTGGGCAACCAATGAATATCGTGTTCATTATAATAAAAAGTATAGCTCTGGTTTCACTTGATCAGCTAAATGCATATTTACAAAAGCAAGCCAGTGATGTGCATGCCATGCTTTGCAGGCTGTTTGCAACAATGGGAATTTGTTTGTGACTATTAAAATATTTGCAATTATTGTATTTCTGCCTTTCATAATGCTTTCAGTGTTGTAGTGTCGTCTGGAGCTTGGACTTGCCTTGCCTATGCATTTTTAAGCGTTTTAAAAATTCATTTTGTAACAGATTGTATTCAGCTACTGCAGCAGTCAACTTATATAGGCAGAACTGTAGCAACCATCAATTACATGGATTTTTTTAAATGTCTGCAAGTGAGACAGAAACTAAACCACTTTACCAGCTGCAAGAAACTAAGCCTTTCAGAGTGCTCTGAACCAATCCTTTGGCAACATGCAAACAAGTCAATGTGCTATTAAAAATACCAAGGACAACAGTGGAGCAAGAAATCTTTCTCAGGTTCTAATGTGTATTAGTAGTGCTGTTGGGATTGTTGTGGTGATTGTGCAACACTTATAGGGTGTTTTTTTTTTTCTTTAATTTTTTTCATTGTGATCAGAGTCTTGTATCAATGAAGATTTTAAATCAATTGGTAACTTTAAAGCTCCTCTGCAACTTAAATCTTGTGCTTTCTAGTTTACAATGGCAAATTCACTTGTAGTATTTGAAGCACTAGATTTAGCCAATAATACAAGTGAATACTGCATCTAGTAGATTTATCCCTTCCTGTTGCATACTGTATGTTTAAATGCCTGGAAGCCAGACCTTAGAGCTTCAATAGCATCACTGCTGTAAAGTTAGAGAAGCATGGAGAAGACTATTAAAGAAATTGAGAAGCATGACAATGAGGAAAATCTATGTTTCATCTGATGGCAGTCAATACCTACTTGCTGTCATTTGTGTAACATCAGAAAAGGCAGAGCATTGAGGATATGGATATACAAACAGACAGAAGTGTTAGTAATTTAGCTTAGACTGAAAGAGTGTGGTGAAGATGGAGTCAGATTCTTGTCTTTGGGTTCCCAGTAATAGGAGCAGAGTCTGAGCCTGGCACAGAACGCATGATGTTCTGGTTTAATGAATGGAAATATTGTCAAGGGTTGGACACTGGCATGGTTTGTCCAGTGTGGTTCTGGAATCTCTGGCTTTTGAGATATTTGTCAGCTGATGGCATAGCCCCAAAAAGCCTCTGCCCGGAGCTGTGCTGACAAGGTGGTTGGGCTTTGTAAACTCTAGAGATTCTTTCAAAAATCCTTCAGGGATTTTGACAGCAGCTTCACAATGCTTATAAAGCAGGACTTCTGTCCTCTCATTCCTATGGCACTCCAGGTGTATCTGTAACACAGATTTAGGCTCCTAATAGCAAAACGTGGAAATATTTTGTTAGCTGGGTAGTGGAACTTCATCATGCAGCAGCATACTGTGCCATAGTCACAGATGTACATGAGGAGCTCCTGGTGTTCCTCTGGGGCATCTGCTCGGCTGCAGCTGAAGAGCTGAGCACACTGCAGTCTTGCTCCTGGATTTGGGCCTTATGCCTTCACAATGTAGCTATCTGTTTGTGACCCATAGGGGGAAATTAAGATGTGTGTTTGATAATGGATATTGGACTCCGCACTAAGGAAATGGGGAAAATGAAGTCTGTGCTAGGCAGAATTCACCACAAGATGTCTCATGTCTCACTATGCATTATTCACAAAGGTACGCAACTATGCAGAGCAGACTGCAATGCAAATGGCATGATTCAGATTATTCTGGGGGGTATGTTAAGAGCATGCAAAAATAGACTGGATGTGGAATCCAGAAGGGAAAAGCATGTTCTTCAAGGGCCAATTAAAAATAAATACATGGGAACTGACAGCGCTGAAGATGAACAAATCTCTCCAGAAAGGAGAAGAAAGCAAACAGTTAAACCCAAAGTGCAATGCGAGAAGAATGATTGCACGTTAGAAAAGCAGGGCTATCCAATGCAATTTGTTATTTCTAACAGCTGTGATTCAGTAGGCCAAGTGCAATCTTTGATGCTAAATAGTCTCTTACAGACTGCTGCCGGTGGTAGCATGGTGCGGTGCAGGGATGGGGGTGTCTGGAAGGAACATCTTGCCTGTTGATGTTCAGCATGTGGACCAGAGCCTGCACATGGGTGATTCTGTGCAAGCACAGGGCGCAGTTGTTCATTCTTTGGATGTGCAGATAGGTATTTTTAAGTAGAACGCTTTGAGGTTTGAGTCTGTGTGATTTTTTTTTTCTGGCACTGAAACAGACTCACGTTTTATTTGGAGGTGCTACTTGGGCTATGGCAGCTATCCGTTAGCTGCTAAATGAAAGCTTTCAGCATGAATTCCTTTAGCAGTTATCCGTATACAGAAGAGCATATATTGCCCGTTTGAGGCTTTTAACGCCTGCACATACAGCTACCAGGCGGGGCCGGGGCAGCCAGCGATGCGTTCCGGGGGCGAGGGCAGCCCCTCTACCGCGGCAGCCGGGGCTCTGGATTCGACTCCTTTGCTCCCGGGAGGGCTGAGGTCCGGCGCCGCGGTGCTCCCTGGGCGGGGCGGGGCGGGGTGAGGCGGGGCGAAGCCGCCCCCTTGCCTCCGCGCTCCGCCCGCCCGCCCGCTGCTCGAGCCGGCACCTCGCTGGAGCCGGTACCGAAGCGGCGGGCCGGGCCCCCGCCAGCCCTGCCCTGCCCTACCCCGCCCCGCCGCGCTCCCCGCCCCGCCGGCGCCCGCGGTGGATGCCGCCGGGGAGCGGGGCCGCCGCGGCCGCCGGAGCCCCCGTACATGCGAGTGCCCTCTCCGCTCACCAGCATGCTTTACTTCCAGATGGTGATCATGGCAGGGACCGTGATGCTGGCTTACTATTTCGAATACACGGACACCTTCGCGGTCAACGTGCAAGGCTTCTTCTGCTACGAGGGCGCGTACCGCAAACCGTACCCGGGCCCGGAGGACAGCAGCGCCGTGCCCCCGGTGCTCCTCTATTCGCTGACCGCAGGCGTGCCCGTGCTGGTGGTAAGCAGGGGGACCGCCGCGGGCTGCCCTGGGCACGGCAGTAGGGAGCTGCTGTGCCTGCCCTGCGCCTCGGAAGTTTATTTTTAGCATCGCTTTATATAAGCACTGGATCGTGTATTGGCGGTCCTGTTTGGCTGGCTTTGGGTTTTTTTTTTTTTAAATATTATTTGGGTGGTTTTGTTTCTCTTTGAAGCGTGTGTCAGGTGCAGGCAGGTGGCTACCTGCAGGGACTTCTGGTTGTTGGCTACCACAACGAACGCTTCACCTGGTATTAATGAAATACCAATCCCTCTGACAGCGTATTTATTTATCATGAAAATGAACTGTGTTGTCAATGGATTAAATTGCTTTTGCTCAATTCGGTCATCTCTGTATGTTACATCTACCGATGTGCATGCAAGCTGAACCTGTGTCTGTAATGCACTGTGACCTGTCAGTCAGATTTAAATGAATGCATCAAAAAAGTTTATTTCACTGGGTTTTTTTTTGGTTTTGGGAAAAAAAGCTAGGAGGGAATTGTTGCATGCACTGTTTGTGTTGTCAGAGAACGAGGGCATCAGCGTCATTCAAAGATCCCCGACTGGGAAGGAATAAGATGGGAGTATGCAGCCATCAGGGCTGGATTAGATGCAGTGTTACTGGGTGCACACACAGTTACATGGACACAAACTCCCTGTAAAGAGTTCATTTTAGTGGACTGTTGTCAGTAGAAAAAGCAACACACCTTCACAGGAGGAGGAGGCCTCTTAAGGCAGTAGCTTTAATGGCTGTGTACTTTTTCAGTGAACTATAAAAATAAAATAAAATCTGGGAACAGAAAACTTCATGAAGCTGATGCTGCTGTAACTGCAGACAGCATTCTGTTGAGCACTGAGGTAGCATCCAACAAAATCACATGGTTGGGTTAAGCTTTACTGTTTAACATATCAGACTGCAGTCATTTACAGTGGATTTGTTCTTTTTTTCTTCTACAGAATGAACTTCTTCATTCTAGAGAATGAACAATCTTTAGCAAAATATGCTGTACAGCTGTTTGTTTTACTGTTCTTTGTTTTAATATCAATTAGTTGACTATTTTGTTTGTCTGCTTGTTTGATCTTTTGAACCCTTAAATGCTGTTGAGATTTTGAAGGTTATCTTGTTGGTGTTGTGTGTAATGTTTGGTTTGCTTTTAATTATTTCTTATGTTTGACTCCGGATATCATGAAGATTTTGTCAGATGCTCACGAGGAGTTCGCTCTTTCCTAATGTGTGTCAGCAAAACGGATTGGTTGTTTCCATTCATTTCCTGGGTGTTAGGTGATTACATCAGAGAAATCACCATGGCATTTTGGTTTGCCAGTTTTGTAATTAGCCTCCGTAGACGCTTAGTAATGGAATTTAATGGTATTTAACTATTCTTCCTCTTGCTATCTTAACTGTCTCAGGCAAATGAGATGCACTGGTGGGTCGGGGCATGGAAAGTCACATTGCAGGTGACTGTTGCACTTTTTAATTTTAACTTTTATTTTACCAAATGGAGACTTCAGCCTCTGAGAATGTCAATCTTATGACTTCAGCAGCACCAAATCTAATCATTAACATTATTAAATAAAGGCAGAATCTTTCAGCCACAGACACAATTCTGTTCTGATTTTCCTTGGGCAGTTTTCCTGGGTTTAGTGCTTCATAGGACAGCTGCTCTGTCATGCATGAAATGAAAATTGTCTTTCACTGAAAGCAGTGATGAGGGCAATATTTCTACTGAAATATTTCTACTGAAAGCTGCTTGTATGCTTTTAGCGGTAGTAAAACTCCCTTGTTAAGATTTCACAAGGATTAATTGTGTTCTGTTCCATTTTCTTTCTGTTTTGTCTAAAGATATTTTGAACATAGGTGCTCTGTGTATTTTTTCTTAATAAATGAAATATGTACTTGTTGCATGATTTGTTTTTATATTTCTGCCTGTGAGGATGCAAACACAGACCTATGAAAAATGTGGATTTGAATGAATGAAAAAGTACTATGATTTGTGGAAAATTCACTGCTGTTTTCTGAATTTTTCTCTTCTGTTGCATTTTTTTGTCACAGTATTTTGTTAGTCCAAAGCTTCTAACTAGCTGCACTCTCTAGTGTAACGCTTATTTTTTTTATTTCTGTTAGCTTGGCTTGTGGAATTAATGCTTTTTCTGGAGTTTTGAGATAGATCACTGGAGGATCCATACCTTGGTGTTCAGGGTAACAATTAATTTTATTTTATTTATTTATTTCTTTTGTAGGATTGGCACTTCTTCCATTGGAGCTATAAGTGCTTCAATCCAGATTTCCCTAATGTGACTCCATAAAGGGCTCCATTGCATTGAATTTTCTTTAAGTTGCTCTAAAATGAGAAAAATTGGATTTTCCAAGTGACTTTGCTCTTTCCACATACTTGGTATCCAAAATCTGAAAAAGTAAAGTACGAGTAGCTGGTCTGTCCTGGTGAGCACCTCATCAGCAGTGGGTGCTGTGAGCTGGGACACAGCTGCTTCTCCACTGCTCTTGTGCCAAACCAGAGCTGCAGAAGCAGACATGCAGTGTCTGCTCACAGGGCGCAGGCATTTGCTGAAGCATCAGTCAGGATCTGGGTCATTTGACAGGGTTGTACCTGTGAGCACTATGCTAATCCTGGAAGTTCTCAGGTTAGTCTTTCAGACGGTGCTTCCTAGTAACACGTTCCTGCAGCTCTAGTGCCACATCACTGCCACACTTCTGTTCTCAATTCTGCTGCTTCTCTCGCCTGCCAGTCCCAGGTCATTCCAGGACAGCCGCAGCTGGTTGTCAGGTCACAGGTCTGCAGGGTTTGGATCTGGCAAATGGAGCCCTTGCCCAGAAGCAGAGGCTGCTTGCTGAGCAACACTTGGCTTGCACTGCTGCAATATAGGGATCTGAAACTGGGTCTCATACTCTGCACTTAGTATTTGCTGAATTTGAATTTCTGTAGTCTTATGTCAAGTATTTCAAATGTCTCCTATATCATGTTGCAGCTAGCAAGAAGTTAAATTGTTGTGCTGTTGACTTTGGTGGACAATTTACTGTCCATATATAGAGGTTACTGTTCAAAGCGCCTGTAACTTCATAGGCATAACAGCAGTTGGAGGAATCCAGCAGTTATTCTGTAGAATGAGAATTTCATTTCCCTCTTTTCAGTTGATTTCCAGTCTCTTGAGCAGAACATATATATTGTTGGTTTTCAGTCTATATTGTGTGGATTATTTCTAACGGTTGTATGTATTTGTTAACTCTGTTGCTGTAAGTTCTTCCACTGCGATGACCTGAATGATGTCTTTTTTCTCTTTCTTTTAATGGCTGTATACAGCTGCAACTTGCTATGTAACAAAACATGCTCCATTCCAATCTAATACTAATATTTATGGAAGGTTTACAAAGTCACCTTTGGGCATAGGTAAAGTAATTCTTTGGGTGAGCAGATGTGTTTACATCAGAAGCATAAGGCTGATAAACAGTAGAATGTCCTATGTAATGTTGATGAGGTTGCAGTTGCTCTCAGAAGTGTGTGGAAATCCAACGTAGGAGATTCCAGGAAGAGAGGATGAGACTGCCATAGAGGCAGCACTTGCCATGTGCTTGCGACTTCCCGCTTGTCTTGGTGACACAAGTTGAAAGAGTGAACACTGGCTGGGCATGCCTGTGCTTCTACTGTCTGTAGCAATGACAGCTGGAATGCTCAATACCTTTTTATTTTCTTTCAGCACTTGAGTCAGGTGTGAAGGTGACAAGCAATGTGTTCTTGATTTGATTCTACTCAAATATGCAGCGAGTGTAGATGTATTAGTTGAGAGCTCTGTGCTATTTAAGCCATTTCCTAAAATGCCAGTTCTTGCTCAGTGGGCCGGTTGCTTTTTTAGTCTTCTTATGACAGATGTAGCTTGGGAAATTTACGTCAGGCTAATCCTTCAGCTTCCAGATTGTAAAATTCTTCTCAGAATCTAGAGAGCAATCAATTCTGCACTGCTGCTTTCTAGTAGATCTTATTAATTTTCACCTCTCTATGATACCGTTAACCGTGCTCAAGGACTCTTTCAGTGAGTCCAAATGCTAATATGCATCACCTGAAATAAAAATAAAAATTTATCTAACACCTGGTGTAAAATTCAGTGTATTGGACTGATGATATACGCTGACTGCTTTATTAAAGTCAGGAGGAGATAATGACACATTTTCATTAGGATGTGCAAACAGTTTTATTATGCTAATGTTGTTTGTTTTTATTTCCAAGTAACAAGCAGATAATTATAGTACTTACTCATAAAACATACACTTTTATTTGCCTAGATACTCATGTATTCTCTATAAACCAATTAAAGACTGATTTGTTTTAGCATAATCCTCTTAATAGCATCATTGAAAACAGTATCTTCAATTTAGACAAAGTGTTGTACTTTTTTAGATCAGATAAATTTTTAAATTGACATATTTCAGGCAAGGAATTAGTGTAAAAACAAGGCCAACAACAAAAAACAGATGTTCTGGCCTTCAGGTTAGGTTTGGCGAGTAACTTTCTTCTTACTGAATTTTGAGGAATTTTGAAACCTGTCCAAAACAAACAAACAAAGAAACTGAGAAGGGAAAAGAGAAACATTGTTCACCTATAGGATGTACGGTATCTTGATTCTTTAAGAAACAACAAGGTAACTGGGAATAAAGAGAGAAAGGAGCCATCTTTTGAAGGCTCAGCACAAATGTCAGAAGCCTCTCATCTCTGCTGCCTTTGATCTCTCAGTAATTCCAGTCCAGGGCAGGTCAAGAATAGATGAAGGATGGGCAAAGACCTGAAGGGGATGCACTGCTTGTTTCCAATCCATAGAGCTGATGTGGTTGGGCGTGTGCCTGTCTCCCTTCCTTTTGAATCTGCTAGTTTCTATTTTCCTTCTTACACCTACAATTCCATGGAGTGTGATACCAGGGCTGAGCTGATTTTGTCAGACTGAGTTTTCAAAATGTTCTTGTCAGAGTAGCCT